TAAGTGAGCATTGAAGTTTTAATTTGGAATTACGATTGCTTGCAGAATTGGGGATGTGATGACACCTATCTAACCCTCGGATAAGTAAGCCTACTCAAGATCACAAAATAAAATACGAAGCACGAACACACAAAACTAACATTTAAGAATCAATATAAGTCATAAAACGATATTTTCTCATAAAATTCATAAATATAAGGAAAATAGATACAACTCTTCCCAAAACCTGGCCTGAAGCGCTAGGCTCTAAACCTGCACAACAAGGTGTTATAAGAACTTGTTTTTCTACTCCTCTAAAAAAGTTGTTTTTTCAATTTACAAAAAAACTTATTTTCAGAACAAATATTTTTCAAAATATGAAAAACCGAATACATACCATACACACCTTGAGATATGTTATGAGAAGTTGTTGTCTCTTTCCAAGATAAGCCAATTCCTAGAAGGACTTGCCTTTTTAGTTTGGATTTCGAGAGTTAAATTTTTAAATTTAAATAGTGAATTTGGATATGAAAAATTCAATTTCTTAAAAATAAAATTTACGTATATGGAAACTACATAAAAAAATACTATTAAGTCAAAATATTTAATAATTCATAAAAGATATATGAAAAAGTTATGGTTAAAGAAAAGATTTTGAGTATATTTTATTATTATATAGAAGAATGAAGACGACCGGACGACCAAGGGTAAAAGAGTCTTTTACTACTAAATAATAATATCCATCATCCACACACTAAAGAGGAATTTTCTAGAAAGATAAGCCCAAGGACAACCAAGGGTAAATGAGTCTTTTACAAAGAGTCTTTTACTACTAAATAAATATGATTGAAGGGCAGAATAGTAATTGCCAGGGTATTGTCAATTTTTGTTTTAAATTAAATTTTAAAAAAAATAGGAATAGTAGAAAGAGAAGGCCACGTGTACTTCTATCATCAAAAGCACAAAAAAAATCACAAGTAGCCGTACTATCTAAACATGATGGGACCCTTTTTAATTCAATTTATATTACATTAACACCTTTACTTTTTGCACTAAAATAAATATAAAAAGAAACAAACATGATTTAAAATGTATTAAATGAAAATAAAAATATTTTAATTAGGGAGAATAAAAATAAAAATTAATAAATAAAATTAAACTAAGACTCTCACTAAATTTTAAAATAAATAGTTTTAAAATTTTGCGAATCAAGCATTGAAGAGAAATAATAAGTATTCTTCGTGTTGAATTTACGTACATTGATGAAAAGAATATTCTGATAGTAAAATAATTTAAATTTTAAGATTAAGCAGAGTAAAATTTCATTAATTATAGTAGATTGTTTACTCTATTTACTTAATATTGCTATTCTTTTTTCTTAAATAAGAAGTTAAGAATCGAAACACATGAAAATCAATACATTAATTAGAAAAGTAAATAAATATAAGTAGATTAATATTTAGAAAGAGATGACAAAAATAGCAAATGATTAATAGTACTTTTTTAAATTTTGAAATAAGATAAAATATCTGGATGGAAAATCAATACGATATGTAGTGATCTATGTATTAAAATATCATGCTAATTTAGCATTTAATTCTGAATAGATTTTTTTAAAACAAAGAAAATGCATTTATGTTTTCAGATTATTTGAAATTTTTTCACTAAATTGATAAAAATAACAAAAATACTTGTTCCTATAAGTTATTGTGCATGAAAAAAGAGAACCAAAAACACATTTATATCATGCTAAAAAAATTATGTTCATTAAGACAAATTATGCATATGTAGAACTTCATGTAATAGTGAGACATGCTTCTTAGCTCTAATTTTTATGTATGAGTGATAAATAAAAAATATTAATCTCTCTGTTTCAATGCGTTTGTTCTATATTGATTTGGCATTAAGTTTAAGAAATTAAGGAAGATTTTTTAATCTTGTGGTTTTAAATTAAAAATGTGTGAAATATAGTAAATGTCTTTTAATCTT